AAATTATTTCAATATAAGGGACTCCCTTGTATTTCTTATGATTCATGTACAATTGAATTTTTTGTTTTGTTTTGTGATTTTGGATATCGTATATTCTGTTGAATTTTTGAATATTTAATTGTTATTTAGTTAGAACAATACATTACTTAATTATCACATTTGTCTAGTCATTCCTTCAAACAATTGAAGTATGTAGACAAGATTTCAATTTGAAATGGAGATTGACCATCCAAATTAAGATACACCTTTTCTAAGTATAAAGTAGTAAGTTTTTATAGGTCATGCATGACCATTACATATTTTCTTCTTGCCAGGATCCAAACTTTTATAGACCCTGTCGAAGTGGGTTGGTCCAAGTCCTGATGGGGGATGTAGAAAAGGTTCTCATGTATTCATTTCACCACCTTTTATTCTTTTGCTTTCCATTTCATGTCGTCATCATTCTATTATTGCCCGTTTTCTTCGTCACTGACATTCTTTGTATGCTGAACGCCTACCCATGTTTGCAATGCATGGCGACCCTTGTTGAAGGGAAAGGGTGACCTTGAAGTTGAGAGGTCTGTCCGTGCTCACTCGTATGCCGAACTCTGGAACCTTGAGATTGGCTCCATCTGTCTGGCCTCTTCTAGATAGAGAGTCGGGAGCTATCTGACCAATCTGCTTGGACTATGTTACTGAATGCCAGAGTTAGTGGGAAGTGGGTGCCATGGTGCCCCCTCTCTTATGTATGACAGGGAAGAAGCAATGCCACTCTACTATATCCCTGTGGCAACCCTGGCACCCCATTGGAGCATCTCCTTATTGGGCTCTGTGATTGGTGGGGACCATGGTGATGGACTGAACCATTCTTTTTGAATTCCAAGACCCCCACCCTCTTCTCAAGAGAAGAGACAATGTGATGGCTGTGAAGAAAGAAATGTTGATATTGACAGTTTCGTCTATAGAGTCTCGGATAAGCCGATAAAGCTATGTTTTTTGATAATGAAGTCTGCTGAACAAGACTGTTCTAAATGCATCAGCTCTGTGTGTTTGGCTTAGGCCATCGAAAGTTGTTTTGGGAAGCTTCAGGTGGTGTTTAGCCAGAGAAATGGTACCATTCATTCTCTTTGAAGACTGCACTGACTGTCACATAGAAAAACTTCTTAAAAGCAAAGCAGGGTTCGTATGAACCTGGAAAACCTGGAAATGTCAAGGAATTTATGCAAATACCTGGAAATTATTTTTGTTCAATAAAAAAATTATGATTGTTAAATTTTGCATATTTTGTAAGAAATATTTATAATACATTGTATATAATATTTATAATACATTGTATTATAAATATTTCATGTTAAATATGTTTATTCAAAGTGACACCATCTATATTTGGATATTAGGAAGCAGTACACAAATGTGACATCTCTTTCTAAAACTATGAAACACAATCAAACGGACAAAGATAAATAATAATTAGTGGCTTATTCTGATAATATTCACAACAATAGAGTCAGTTGTATTATTAATTCTTTCAGTGCATTTAGTTTTTCAAATTTATAATTATAAAAAATTTAGTTATAAAAATTGCTTATGATGACAATTCAAAACACAAAAGTGCATATTTTATCAGAAAGAATTAGTGTTTGAAACCATTGGCATTTTCCAAACCTAAGAATATTTTGTATTGAAAAGGACAGACATTTTAGTCTACATTAGTGTGTCCTTTTTCAATAGAAAATATTTTTAAGGTGATGTCGAAAGTCAAGGTTCCCGGAGTTAGTGTCTTTTTAAATAACAATTATGTATTTATTTATTTTAACAAATAATACCATTCCTTGGTTATAGGAGAATGTATTTAGTAAAAACTATGTAGGTTTTAACAGAAATTATAATTTTGTAATGCTCTTTTCTCCATTATTCCGCTTTGAAAACTAGAAACCATTAAAAAATTACAAATCAATGAAGACTAATTTTTATTAAAACGCATAAAAATGCGAAAAAACGGTGCTATGGTCATAAATTGTGTTAATTTCAGAGTATATTGAAAAATCTGTAATGTCTGTAATTGTGTATTTGATACTCCCTTAATATTGGAACACGCCACATATATAATACGCCATTTGTAAGGCTGTGGCCATGGTCACCAGGTCCGTTTTAACACTTTTGGAACCCTTGGGCCTCCATTAATTTCAGGGCTACTATTCTTACATTCACAGATCTCCCTTCCAATTTAAAGGCAAGTTTTGTTTAAAAAATTAACCTTCTCATCACGTACGTGACATTGTCGCATCAACCAGTAATATTCTATATTATAAACATTATCCAATGATGCGCCGTGCGTCACTCCATTATGACAATTTACTGCGGGTAGTTTAATCATATATCACTTTTTATATGATTTTTATTTTGTATTTTTTGAAAAATATAGTATAAAATATTTTTTTAAGAGCTATCAGGGGCCCTTCGGGCAGTAACATGGTTCTAATGCAGTTCCTGTATGCAGAATGAACCAACACCACCTAGATTAATACATGTATGTCTAGGTGGTGTTGAATGAACAGTGCTGATGTCAAATGTTATGAGTCGTTTCACTAGAGAAGGGATGCTGAAGAATTCATCAGATGCAGAATTAGATTTTATAAGAATGTAAATTTGCTCAATGTAAAGTATGTAAATGCTGCAATTCGATCTGCAGGAAACCTGAAAGAAAAAGCGGAGACTAAATGCACAGAACAAACAAAAAGTCGGCCCCCTTCCGAGCTGTCGAATTGTACAGTGGAGACGAAATTGAAAGAGACTTTGCAAATCTGTTCTAAGCCCGGGAAAATGATGTTTTCAAAAGCTACTCAGAATACGACAGATTGGATCAATTTTGGAAAAAAATCATTTTGGATTTTGATGGATCTAGTGAATTGCTAAAATGTATTAAGATGATGCTTGTTTTATCTCACAGTAAGGCTGGTGTCGATTGGAGATTTTCCATCAACAAGAAATGCCTCATTGATAACTTGGCAAGAAAGTCTTCTGTCGCTCAAGACAAGTTTGGGATGGCGTTATAAAAGCAGGAGTAGTTATACAGATCAAGATAACTATATATATGATTTATTATGCTAGAAACGCTTGAGGTGGCTATCATGAAGAACTGGAAACGAAGACGACAAAAGAGCGAGGAGAAATGAAAATGAAAGCTGAGAAAAAAAAAGCTAAACAAATGATATGTGAACTGAAGGGAAAGAAAAGAACCATAACTACTCAAATGGTACACATTGATGAAGAGATTGGTTCACTAATTTCATTGATGTCGTAGTAGTTGAACCAAGATTCTTCTGTTTTTTAAATACAGTGTTTTATTTGTATAATCAATAATTACATATTGTTAAATACTTTAATTATTATAATATAGTTCATTTGTAAAGTACACTTGTAATTTTTCATTTTATCATACTTTGCCTGTTCTGATTGTCATCTATTATGGAAATAATATATGAACAAAAACTGATTTTTTTTTTTTGTGTGTGTGTGTGTGTGTGACTGGAAAACTTGGAAAAGTCAGGGAATTTGAAAATCTAGAAAGTGTATGAACCCTGCTTAGGGATTTCCAGCTTCCAAATTTAAGTGTTTACCTGCCCTAGCCTCACTTTATAGATATGTACAGGATGAAGCAGAAAGGAAATTACTACCTCCACTCTGATCCTTACTTTTGACCACCCTTCGTGTCCAGAAGCAATCTGTTGTGGATTTTATAATCTTTTGAGTACGCCAGTATGTGCTGAACCCTCTGTGCTGTTATAAATGATTGTTGTTCGCCATGCCATTGAGCTCTGCGTGTAGGTCAACTCCATATTGTACGCTCTAAGTGCGATGAAACGTCACACAACGAATCTGCACCTCCCTACTTCATTGCGTTAACTACAAGAGTGATCGGGCAGCAAATTTGACCTAGTGTCAAACTACTTCAACCGGAGAGAAATTCAGAAAAGCTGATTGACTTTCTGGTTTCGTTTTTGTAAGCAAGAAAGAGATACTAAATAAAACACCTGGATATTCCAAGTTATTTTCTCCTGTGCTAAATCAGCTCAAGCAGTATACATACAAAAGGATCCGGCATACCCCGTAGAACTACCTATGGAATTATCACAATTGGCTAAGATACCATGCACATGTGACTAGTAGTGTAACAACATCACATACTTTTCTGGCATCAGTAACGGTTTAGTAAAATCCAATTTCGCAATTTCTGTCTGTATTAACACACCTCAGTCATCAGTTGTAAAACACGTTATCCATTGTAACACATTAGGAGCACAAATTTATTTTATTTTAATACGTCAACACAAATTCGATAATCCAAAACACCATTCCATACTCCCAGAATCATCGGCCAACAATAAAAGGTTATTCTGAGAATTTCAAACTGCTGTGTCAATGAAAATGAGACCCGCATCATTCTTTTAACTGTGTTTTATGATATCCGAGGAAGAAGTTTGATAACAAAAATTGGAGCCATTTTTGCAAAATTTTAAAAAATGTAATTGAGGCTTCATGCAAAGTACCTAAAAAAATCAGTATAAACATTTCAAACTCGATAAGCAAATATAAATTTGGGGGAAAATCATCTGAACGATTTAGTGTTTGTGTGTGTGTGTGTGTGTGCATGCATGCATGCGTGCGTATGTGTATGTATGTACATATATATGTGTGCACATGCACACGTCAAATGTCACTGTAAATTAGACCAAGATATTTCTCACTCACTCACTCGCGATCTACGTCTGTCTCTCTCGTCTCTCTTTATTTATTCTTGTTCTATATGCCCTCTGGCACTATTTATTTTGTACTGACTGATTGACAAATTACTTTAGCATATTGGTTGCATAGGCTTCTGTGGCCGGAGTTTATGTTGTCTAGGCTATCCGGGACAAGCCGCATCAATATCATGGTGGTTATCTTTTCGGCCAGCATATGCCGTGAAGTAGCATGCTGAAGTAGCAGCACTATGCTCTGAAGAAGGCCACATACATGGCTCGTCCCGGATAGCCTAGACAACATACTTGAGCATATTTGCTGTGCCTATGCAAATTGGGTTGGCCAATGGCAGGCAGTATAAGTTATTGTAATTAGTGACTGTGAAAATGTTATTTTTTTTCTTTTCTTTCTTTTTATTATTTTTTAAAAAATTGGATAAATCTGGTTACTAAATCTGCTTAACTTTAAGCATATTTCTAATTGTACACTGATCATTTGTATTTTAATGTATTACTTCTGTAAAAGAAATTTTCTTATTTTGGCATGTTTTCTTTGTGTAGGTGAATCGTCAAAACCATTCAACAGAAGATGTTCTTCCATTCCAGTTGTCACAACAACAGGCTCAACTTCTTTTCTCATCAAATTCAACGCAACATCATCAGTGATGAAAAATATTTTGTGTGGACTGGAGTTACTTTTGACCATCAAATATTGTTAACAAGGTGAATTATAAAGTCTTTCAATCCAAAGCTGTTTTCATTTGTTGAATTTTATCTTAAAAATTAAGATGAATACTGAAAGTTGGTGAGAATCTTCTTTTGGAGAAAATCTTTATGTACCTTAGATACTTTTTTAAAAAAATTAGAGTATGTGTTACTGTTGACGATGAGAGGTATTATTAACCCACCCGTTACCATGACAGATCTTGAGCCTATTTTCTTCTCGTGAGGTTTGTATATAGCACCATTGTTAGCGAAAAGTCTAAATTGTTCCTGATAGAAGAAAATAAGAAATGTTGAAAATAATGATTAAGGAAATTGTGCAAGAACACACCGTACTAAATGCATCTATTTCTTTGGAGTAAAACAAAATAGTGGACAATATAGATCTGTTTTTCCTTGAGGGAAAATAATTCTAAAATTTGTTTTGTATTACAATACATAATTAACTTTATTTTAAATAATTTATTTGTATTGGAATATAAGTTGGATTAGTCCTGAAAAGAAATTAGACATTATAAATGTGATGATAACTACACCATTCCAATATTTGTTAATCTGTGTGTTCTGTGCAGTGTGGGTATATGGTCCTATAAATACAGATGTTTTATGGAAACTTTGTTGAAATTATGATTCACTGGACAATGCTCAGTATCGTATTTGTCATAAAAGGATGTACGTGTTTTTGTATTTTTTAATGATCGATAATATGAAGTGTAAATGCTGTTGTATCTGCGTGTTTGATACTTTTTATACTTCTTTATTTTGTTATTGCAGCCTCTTTATTCTGGATTTGGCAAAGGATACAAAGGATGTGCTTAAACTTTCTTTTCTGTACTATTTTCAATTATGTTTCACAATATTGTTGTTGCTTCTTGTTTTGTCTTCATTTGTTTTATATCTGCCTTAGATTTCATATTCTCATTTTTCATTTTGTTTTAAGAAAACTGTTGATACTACCAGTTTATAGAATATTTATAAAACAATACATGGTCATCATTTGATTATTTATAGCATCCTTATTGGCCGAGATGTAACTTAGTTGAGTTACTTTTCTTTGCCATGAACTCTTCAATTGACAAAATTTAGTTAATTCTTTTCACAAAAATAATGGAATTTGTTTGGAATTAGATTAATTTTGGAATGCAAACTTAATACTTAAGATAGAAGATAGGCAGTTTTGTGTGTGTTTAATTGTTGGAATGTTGTGAATAGATAATGTGAATTCTTAGTAATCGCAAATTGTAAATGTTAGCTCAAAGCATAATAATACTTGTCTCAATATACAGTTTTATTACATTTCAAAAGCAATTTTGCCAGATAATTTTTCAAATAGTATTACATAATTATAAGTTATATTTTTCATGTAAATTGTATTTATGTTATTGAATCTACCCATCAGAATTTCTGTTGTGTTGTTTTCAAGTTGTTGTGAGAACAAAAGATACTGGAGATAATGTGCTCTCTAGTTTACTTATCTGTGTTATCGGTGTGTCAGATGGGATATATCCACTGTTTTGTAGAACAGGTGATGTGTTATGACATCATAAACGATCCTTTGTACTAACTTATGTGTCAAGACTTGCATCGAATGCTATGTTTGAATGATCAATTGTAAATAGGTTTGTACGTTTGTTGAATAATGATGTGATCATTGGTTGTGACTGTAACATTTTGTTAAGTTTTGCATCAATATTTGGCATGTTTCTCTTGGCTATACTACCATATTAGTTTGAGATTTATTTTCACTCTTCTAGGTTTATACATAGTCACTTAATAAGAATATTTGCATTAAGATCTCTTTAAGTTGGGTACTTGCTTTCCTAAAGAATAGGATGAGATATGAGACAAAATTATTCTATATTCTTGTAGCTTCACATAACTATTGTTTGATTAGTTGATTATTGTGATTCATCCCATTATTCCTTAAATTGGCTGAATATTTGACAGGATTAGAAGTGTGGGCTATTGTCTAGAATAATAGTAATAATAATGGTAGTAGTAATTATAATAATTACAACAGCAACAGTAATAACAACAATATTAATAACAATCTATTTTTATTTTATCCTGATGTCATTTTATATTTTCAGACATAATACTAAATCTACACAGTGAAACTCAGTTTATACATTTCTCACTTATACGTTTTTCACGTTTTTGTGTAGGTCCTGGATAAATTCCTAGAATTCCCATGCTAAATTATTACAGTTATGCGTTTTATGTTTATAAGTTTTTTACACATATCCGTTCATAATAAAAGTTCCTTTTTAACTGTATTACGTTCAAATGATCACGGTGAGGCGCCGAGAGACCTGCGCCGAGAACCCGAAACATCTATGTTAATCGAGTCTGCACGCCCCAGAGCGCTCCCGCGAAGCGACCTGTCACTCGGCCTCTGAGGCAACTTGTAATATAGAAGCTCAGCTCGGCCTAGTTGTGGGACCAAGACCGCGCGAGCCCACGGGGAGGTAGGGCAGATTCGGCTCCGGCAGCGGAACTTCGAAAAATTTCAGGCGGGTGCGTACGGGAGCTCTTTGAAGATCTCAGGAGGCGACGACTAGCGCCGAGGGGAAGGTCAAAGAGTCCCCAGGAGAGATGTGTGATGACCACTAAGTTAAGTTTGTGCACTGACTGTTCCACCCTCCGAAGGCCCTTTTGCTCGCCGTAATTATCATATGAGAATCTTTCAATTATCAATGAAATTGATCGCTTTTCCGCGCGGTATCGCCAGGCTGTGGCAGTCGTGCGCTTCCTGTCGCCCACGTAGAACACTGTGCTTGACCCACGGAATCGCAAGGAACATCCAGCTTGAAACTGAAGAAACCAGCCGCGAGTCGCCGCTGCCAGTTGTAGCCCACGCAGGACACGGACTTCGTTTCTGCTGTGAAGCCGAGTCGCACATGGTCATCAGTAAAGTACCCATTGCGTGTTCGCACCTCAGGGGATGATGACCTTCGGCCGACGATATTTTTCCAAGCTGACCAACGTTGTAATTTGTGGCTCTGAGGCTCTATGTTTAAATCGAAGTATAGTTCGTTTCCTATCTGGTTTTGCGTCCGCGATATTAAACGAAATAGAGTGGTAGAAAAAGGCAACCCCTTTCAATATTAGATAAAATAATTTTTTTTAAGTTGTTAGGGAGAGTGGCAATAAAAAGTTAAATATTGCTAAAGAACTGGGAAAATGATGTGTAAAAATAGAGTCATTATTTTGCTCGTAATAATTGATATCAGTTATGTGTTTTTCTCATACCTTTTTTCCCTTCGGTCCCCTGAAAAATGTATAAGTGAATTTACTGTAATTAAAGCATGTAAGGTAGTCACATTTTCTGATGCATTCTATTTTATGAAATTTTCTTTTTATTATATTTGAATCATGTGTTATGCTGATTTTTTCCTACTTATTTTTCAGTTAGCCTATATGAAAAATCATTACATATGTTTTTGCATGCTAGAATGATTGAAAGTATATTTCATCAATGTTTAAAATGAAACAATGAAATATAAGAGAATGTACCATTTAGTTATTTCACCATTTTCATTTTAATGTTTTCTGATAAGAGAGAGAAAATTCTACATATTCTATTAAATATATAATTAAAACTTTATCTCAAATTGGAACATAGAACCCGAACATTGAAATAGAATGTTGATACATTGTGAAAAAAAATGTTATGCATTCAACAATAAAATAAATGTGAAAACTGTTAATTTGTGAATAAAAAAATTACTGTCTGAAATAATTTTTGGGATTCAAAGTTTTAGAGTCAAAATCCAATAGACAGTATAAAATTGAGAAAGTTTGTTTTAATTTTCACTTCCAGCTTTACAAGAGAAAGAAATGCATTTAATTTTTCATTATTTGTATAATTTCTTTCTTCCGCTCTCCTTCCAATACTTGAGAATATCTTCTTTTTTAGTTATTGAATGTTGCTTTTTGTCTTTAATTCATGCATCGGATTCTGAGACTTGTGTCACTATTTGAATGTAAATTATCTACTACTATTATTTTTATTATTAAGTTCCTTCAAAATTTAGAATAGATAAAAGAGACCACTGGTACTCGCATTGGAAAAATGAGAAACTTAAGAGGTGCAAAGGAATGAAGAGAAACTGCAATCATCACAATTTCAAAATTAAGCCATTTATAAAAGAATGATAAATATCAGAAATTACCTGACTGTAGAAAGTGCCCAACAAGAGAGATTTTACTGTATTTTCCTCAAGTTCTTGTGTGTGCAAGTAATAATTTATTTTTCTTATTCCATACAAAATCTGATGATAATGTACCTGTTGAATTGGAAATATCTTTACTTGTAACTGTGCTTTAATCACCTCAAAATGTGTATAATTTTAATTGAAACTTGAAGGTATTTGTGCAATTATCAATTTGTATATAGCCTTATGAAAGTTTTAATTCTGTTTAATTTTACCAGATTGAATTGTTTCTCAATGTGTAACATTCTGTGTAGAAATATGACAGAGCATCTCAGTGCTGCATTTTCAAAACAAATGTGACTGAAACTACAATCTATTTAGTTTTCTGTACTATATTATTGGAGGAATATCAGTTTAAAAAAGTGAAAGCATTCCCCTTTTTTAACCTCTCTGTCTTGCTCTATAAATATGTTGACTTTCTTTCGGTTTTCTCATTTGACTCATTGGCAATACACATGTGCCTACTTTGTTTTATGCTGCTAAGTGAATAATGTTCATTTTATTTGCATTGTATATTTGGCAGCTTTTTATTTTGCCTTTGTAAGGTCACCAGAATTTTCTGTGGATGAATGGTCTTGGATAATTTTCATTTCCTTTTTGTTTGGTTTTTTTCCTCTTTGTTCCCTTTTTTAAGAGTCCGTACTTAAACATTAATTCCAACTTTCACTAATGTGAGGAAAGTATGTCATAGTTTTTTTTACAAACATTTTTCTATTTACTGTATTATAGGATTAAAATGTAGATATAAAGTGTCTCAAAGAACTATGAACTTAGATAATGACCAAAAGTTGCACACATTCAAATAAGAGGGGTCTTCCTGCTCCATTCTCAGGGTATTTTTTGCTAATCTGTGCAATCTTCCACAAGATCTGTAAAATGGCTTGTAAGGCATGTTTTTCATTTTAATTTTTAAGTCAATTGAGAAAATTAAATCCCCTGTCATTGCAAGGATCATAGAAATCAGGAAGAGAAATAATCACAGTTATTACCATTTAAAGATTTTTTAATTTATTTCCTTAAGCTACTTGTACAGTACATTTAAAATATGTAAGGGAATGCAAAAATCAAATGTTAAAAAAGTAAGTATTGTATTATTAGTGACAATTATTTAATTACCTCCTACCTTCTAATTCTGAATGTAATAAATAGGGGGCAGATTTTTTATGATCTAAAAAAATTCCCAAAAATGATTAATAAAATGCTCTTAAAATATTTTTAAAATGCCGTAAAGGCAAAGAAAAATTATGTAAAAAATGTGATCAAAACTAATTTGGATGAACAACTCAAGCTGTTGGATACATTATTGATGTAATCGAGGCTTCTATTCGTTCAAGTAAATTCAGCTTTCAAACTTTTGATTTGGGCTGTTTTTTACCAGGAAATCTGTGTCTGTAGTTATCCGGAAATTGGCTGAATCAACAATGGTGCTGAAAGGCGTCACAGGAACCTTCGATTACATACAACTGCTGACATAACATTTTCTGAACAAAGAAATCAAAAAGGCTACTCAGGAATTCTGTGGAGACCATTATGACATTAACACATATTATTTGAAGCAAATATGATTAAAATGATAAAATCAACAAAATATGCATTAAAAATGGCAGGAAAAGGTAATAAATGACTTATTAGTCAAAATCAACAAAAAAAAAGCTAAAAAAACAAAAAAAATTACATGTAAGAAAGAGTAATTTCCGTTTGTCATAGTATAAAATTAATTTCTATACTAAACGGCGTTGTTCTATAGTGAAAAGAAAAAAAAAATGACATTTCATTAAAATCTGCCCCCTAGCGATAAGTCTATATTTACTTTTAAGTCTGTAGGTTCTTTTGACTTACATGTTCTTGGCAATATACGAGTGTATTAAACGATTTCGCAGAGATTTCCTATACAGAGGTTGCGATGTTTTGAAGTTACAGGACTGATTTGTTGTCTGTTAGGTCATTGTGAAATTCCATGTTAAATTCATTACTAATCCTTCAAAAAAAGTTACTGAATATCATTGAAATCATCTGGGAGTGGAAATACTAATGTTCAACTTTCAGTATGTTAAAATGTGGAATTCTTTAAGTGTTTTTACCTAAATAAGTGTTGCTTCAAAATACACTTTTTCATTTTTGTTTTATGTTAACATTCTCAAAATTCATTATTGATTATCAAGAAAATGTCATCAAGGTTTCTTACCAGATGTATAGAAATACAAACTAGGAAACATCGGCTTAAAAATAAATACATTGTTTTTATAAGACAGGTGAATTTTACCTGAACATCTCATGGAATATAATAATAAAATGGAATGCTTCATTACTGCTTTGTACTGATAATGAGCAGTTTGATTCCAAAAGTTCTGAATTTTTTCCACTGATTTTCTGCCAATACCTAAAATAATTACCCATTTCTTTCTTAGATTGAATTCAATTATGTTTGACAGAATTGTGAAGCAATAAGAAGAATATTGTCATTTGTCTCTCTGATATGATGGTGCAATAAACAGATTCAAAAGAAACATGTTTCAGAGCTTCAAGTATGAATTGGGTTTAACCTGTAAAACCTTAATGAAAACAATTAGTGTGAATGTAACATAATAAAGTAAATAATGTAGGATTTTGAATTATTTTCTGCAATTAATCATTTCTGTTAGAATATTAGAGTAAAAAAATTGCATTGTGTGGTGCAGCTAACTATATGACATAATAGATTCATTAGAACTTCTTAATTTGTGTACTTTGCAATTGGCAATGCACTGCTAAAAGTATATTTACTGTCATTTATTTTCCTTTAATATGGATATTTTTTAAATGTTGGAATTTAAATGCTGCTTTGAATGAAAATAATACTTCCATTGGTTGAGAAATAATATAGTATCATGAGGTATATTACTACAAAGTTCCAAAGAAAAATTTTTTTATCGATGATTTTGTTGATATTCAGCATTTCAT